CTTGGGGTACCGTTCTGCTAACCCAGCTCTCTAGTCGCATCTGCTTGGCTCTGGTACCAAATAGTTGGGATTACTGAAGTCCCCCTTCCCTGCGTGTCAGCGCCGATGCTATGACTGCCACCCGCTTCCCGTCAAGTGCCCTCTGCCCGAGCTCGCCACCGATGTGCGCTGCGCTGCGTGAGTTACGAGGTGCCTTTCCCGGAACCCTCCGCTCACTTGGACCCAAGAGAGGTGACAGCTCTGGCTGGGGCTCTTGGTTTCCAGAGGGTCTGGACTGGTTTGGGTGCTTTAAAATAGATTTTTAGTTCAGTGGTGCTTATGGGGGAGGTGGGGATAGAACTTAAGTGTGAGACTTGGGTGGATGGGAAAGTTAAATATTGGTCTCTTCAATTTTCTTTGCTTTTGCTGTTGTTACTATTTGTCATTGTATCGATGTTAAAATGCCAAAAATGATCTAGTCGTTGTTGCTTTTTTCTCTATCTTCCACCCCCGTCTCTCCTTATGATGACTTCTGCCCTCACGGAGCGCAGTATCTGTAACAGTATCTGTCCTGGCCAGTTACAAGGCCTTGCGGGAGGAGACAGGCCTGCATCTTGCTAAGAGTTAGTCTGACTTCATGCTCATCTCTCTGTCCTGTGTTCAATCAGTAGTCCAGGGGAGAAGCTTCTGCAACTTCAAAGCTTCGGCTAAACTAACCTAATTTGTCCAAATCACTCCAAAACCACATCTCTGACTCAAGCTTCCATGTGACAACCTATTCAGTTTCCCTGCTTTGGCCTCTTTCCTTGCACGAAGCTCAGGCATCTGTGCTCTTTGTACCCTTGGGTGGTGTGGTCGCCAGGAGGGTTGAGGAAGCAGCCCCCTGGGTCCTGGCTTCGCAGGAGGTGCCCTGGGCAGCGCTGGGCTTAGGTCCTCCACGGACTTACCTAAAACCAGCCGCAGCCTCTTCTGGAACCCTTGCCAGGGACTGGAGAAGGAAGGGGACCTTCCAAGTGAAGACTGCCCTGTCCCCCCGACCGCCTCCCCCAACTCCTTTTGGCGTAGATTTTAAATGAACTTCCTAAGGGGGAACATCCTTTTGAACAAGGAGTTGGTTGTGGGGGGAGGGGGGCGCTGCACTCCTAAAGGTACACGGCGGCCTGGCCTGGCCTGGCCGGGGACATGCTTGGCACTGGCCCCGAGGGTGTCTGACCAGTCTTCACCTCAGGAAGGAGGATGTGAAAGAAGAGGCTTTGAGGGTGCAGGGAAGTTGAAGAGCAGGTTGCGATTTGGTCAGAGGTGCCTGGTTTAGTGCTGTAATTGTCTTATTTTTTTTTATATATATATTTCTTGGAGTAAACATTTTAAATAAACAACATCATTGTTTACTCTGTCTTGGCTTTGATGTTTCTTTTTCAGTTTAGCAGGTATCTCCATTTCCTCCACTCCTTGTATGTGGGCTCCCCCAGCCCTGGCACCCCCAGAAAAGGGTGTCAGGAAAAGGGTGGCTCCCGGGGAGCGTCTAGGCCTAAACCACACAGGGGTGAGGTGAGTAGAGTCCCGACTCTGCCCCTTGAAACGGGGTGGGGGGGTGTCAGTGCCTCAGTCCAATTCAGACATGGAGTTTTCCTATCCTCACTGGGGCTTTGAAAAGGGTAAGATGAGAATAGCCATGGAAGCGTCCAGAACATGGGCTGGCACCTGCCGGGCGCCCTGAATGTGGTGTTCATGCCCCCAGACTCTAATAGGAGGGAGCCTGCTGTCAGGCACCCACGGTCAAGTGCAGTGTGGCCTAATGCCCAGCAGGGGGCGCCAAGAGGCCAGTCCTGTGTTCCCGCCATGGGCAACTTGGGCGGATGGGCTTTATTAGTTTCCAGGCTACTGCTGCTCTTGGCCGACCTGAGTTCTAGACTGGACCATCTGCACAGGCCACCAGCTGCCTGTAGCCAAGGTATGCCAGCACCAGTCACAGCAGCCTCTGGGTGCTGGCTGCTTTATGCTGGGGAGCAGTAGTGGTCAGACCAGCCCCCCAGCAGACATCTCCCCGGGCTAGAGAGGAGACCCTCCTGCAGCCCATTAGCAGCAGAAGCAGCAGGTCACAGGGCTGTCCACGTGTGAAACGTGAGATTCCCCGTCACATGCTTTGGCTGCTTGCAGCTTCCCATCCCTTGGCCCTGCCCTGGGGGACCCTGCCTGCCGAGGACCCCCATGGTCTGCAGGGGAAGTGGCCACCCTGGTGGGCAGCGTCTGTGGAACAGGTAAACAGTTGACACGTTCTGGCTGCCATGTTGTGTAATGCGCCCTCCTCCCCCAGGCCCCGTAATCCCCAGCAGCCGCCTTGAGGGGAAGGGCCATTTATTCCCCTTTCGTAGGGGAGAGGTACGCAGACAGGTGGGCTCAGGCCACGCTGCAGTGGGGCAGGTGGGAAGACCTGTGCCTGGAGCCACTCTGCTAAAAGGCAATATCACAGTCCTACCCCACCCTCCATGACCTGAACCCCTGGCGGGGAACAGAACCCCTGCAGCCTGTGGCCACTCTTCCCCGGGGCTGCCATCAGAGCTGCGGAGACAGCCCGCAGGCCTCCCCCTCAGGCTGTATTGGTTGGTGTCGTTACCAAATTGATGTCCTTCTCCACAACCTTCTACCAGTCTTGGGGCTGGGGGCAGCTCCCTAAGTGCAGTCTGGGGCCTCTTCACCTGCGCGCTGCGCAGTCCTGCTATCCTGCCAAGCCAGCAGCCTCGTTGGCTGATGTGCTCTGCCCTCCACAACTCAGGCTCCCGGAGAGGAGGGGGAGAAGCAGGAAAGTGGGAGGGGGCTTGCCAGTGGCTGCCCAGTCCTGCCACGAGGCTGGAGTATATGAAAAGCCACACGGGACCTGGGGGATGACGGTGCACTGCACTGTGGGCTCTGCCACCTGATCCTGACAGGTGGCAGAGGGGGGCGCAGGAGCCCGGGCACTCCTCCAGGAAGAGGGCAGGGGTGTGGGGACGTGAGGGGGAAGTACAAGTCCCATTAAACATTTTGGAAGGTAAAAGGGGCGTGGAGAGCCAAGGGCATTCTGGGTACCGAGGCGACCCTGGGAGAGGGCCTGTTGGGGAGGTTTGGGGTCTCCAAAGCCCTCAGCTGCCTCCCCTGCACCCGGCCCCTCCATCCACAGCCAGGTGGACCCCAGGGAGTTGGCTGCGGGGACAGGGGGCAGTAGGGACTGCTGCAGGGACAGGGGTCTCCAACTTTCAGGGAGAAGAACAGCTGACTGCCCAGTGCTGGGCATCATCCTAGGGCGTTACGTGAATGACTTGAGTCCTTACACCAATGCTTACTTAGGCACTGCTCTTGCCCTACTTGAACTGGTGAGGAAACTGAGGCACAGAGCCCATTTAGTGAGCTTGTCTTTATCACTTTGACAGGTACAGGGGACACTTCCTCCTCTCCTGTGTGAAGACAGTAGCACAAGAATAGTGCCAAGTGGCCACTGCCCTTGGCCCAGGACGGGAGGGGCAGGGCCTGGGGAGCACATCTGTCTGGAGGGCATGGCCAGCAAGGCTGCAGCAGCGAGCCCCTCGGGTGTAAGCACTTGGCAGCGGGAGCTGGAGATCCAGATGTCGGGTTGCTGGTGCCAGATTTAGAGAAACAAAATACCGCTGCTGGGACCCTGGGGGTAGCTGGAGAGGTGTTAGGCCTGCCAGGGTCTCCTGTGGGACCCTTACTCAGCTGGGGAGGGAAGGGCCCAGGGCTGACTGGAAAAGCCCTTGCTTGGGGTTGAGCAGAAGAGGAACGAATGCCCCACCCTCAGGCAGCCCTCAGAGGTACGTGAGTTCCCCAGGAAAAGTCCCTGCAAGGTGGCAGATAAGAGTGGACACTCTTCACCCACTTCTGGCCCCAGGGCACCCCTCTCCCTGCTTAGGGGAGTAGTGCCAGCCCTCGGGACACAAAGTCCCCTACTTTGGCTTCTCCAGACCACCTGGAAATGCGCATTGTCAGGCGGCAGCCTTGCCCCATAATTAGCTAATCCATCCCTCACACCTCCGCAGTTCACTGGAAGGCCTGTTCTATGGCACAGCCCTGGGCTGGGACAGGGTCGGCCATAAATCCAAAGGTCTCTGCAGTGTGGCTCACAGACTGAGCGCCATGGGCAGCTTGACGAGATTCAGTCCACAGGTTGGACCGAGAGCGGTCCCACCGCTCAGCCAGAGTGGCTGCCGGATCAGAACCTGCACCTGGCCCCGAGACCATGTCCATGCACCCAGCCACACCCTCCCGTGCTTCTGCCACTCAGTTCCTACTTCCCTGGGGGAGCCCAAGTAAGGTGCGTTGGGGGTGCTCAGGCTTGGGATCCCAGCTCTGCTTTGTCCTGGCCTTGTGACCTTGGGCACGTCACCCAGTTCTTCCCCTTGGAAAATGAGAACAGTAGCACCCACCTTAGGTCGAGATGACTAAAGGGGCTGCTTTGAACCTCAACGAGGGCCACATGCATGCCATCTGCCCTGTGAGATGTGATCCCATCCTACATGCTGGGTAACAGGCAGCACAGGACCAGCCCTCCTTGGGCTGATGGGACCGGGGAGCTCCTGCACAGCCGCTGCTCTGTAGCCAGGGGACATGGGGCCCAGCCAGGAGGCGCCCCTGCGCCCACGGCCCCGGCAGGCCAGGACTGGTTGGTTCTAGCCCAGTTCTGCGTCTGGCTCCCCTCTCAGGGCCTAGCCCCGGGGACTGGAAGGTGCTCTGGAGAAGTACCCATGGGGAGCCAGCGATTGTTAAACCTCAGCGAACCCTGGCTCACTTTAATAGCATCTGTGCCATCATCACGGGGGTGGCTGGCATATGCAAATAGGTGGCCTTGACCTGGAGCAGGAACTTTGGCCTTAAAAGTCAGCCCAGGCCCGCCCCTGCTGCACCACGTCCCTCAGGCCACACCCTGCAGACCCCAAGGAGCCCAGAGCTTCTACCTGCGAGGCCAGCTGCCCTTGGGGTATGGCGCTGCCCCCTGGGGCCTGCCTCCAGCTCCTAGCAGGCCTCTCCCTGCAGCCTGGAGCTCGGCACGCAGGGCTTAGAGCCAAGACCCAGATTGTTGGGGCTCGAGTGGGAAGGGCAGCAGCATCATCTAGCCGAGTCCCTGCCCCGACTTACGTGGGATGGCAGGACCACCCACAGGTGTGTCAGCAGCTCAGCTTTGTCCCCAGCTGTCTCAAACAAGGGGGCCACCGCCAAAATGCATTCAGAACAGCTAGAGCTTTATTGGCCATTCAGTAAACATCTTGGCTGAAGATAGTTTTCCACCTTTCCCCCTACAGGGGCTCAAGCTGGTGACGTTTGCCCGCCCTGCAGGGTTTGAGGGACGGGCAGACGGGGAAGGGCTGTACTGCCTCGACTCTGCAGCCTCGCGTTCCGGGCAAGGAGTCGCGCTGTTGCCCGGTGGCAGTGGGCCACTCACGCCAGGGCGGAGCCGGCGGCCCAGGGCCTGGGCTAAGGCACCGTCTTCCACCACTTGAAGGCGAAGGGCACCCGGCGGATGTTGGCGCAGGCGCAGAGGTCTCCGACGTCGGTCAGGTAGCAGTCAAAGTCGTCGATGAAGGTGCACTTGAAGCCCAGGGGCTCCAGCAACTGGCAGACCTTTTCTTCCAGGCAGCAGGTTCCCTTGATTTGGGGCCCAAAAGGCTTGGGGATCCCCAGGGTCTTGCCCATCACGATCATCTGCAGCTGTCGGGAAGACAGTTGTGCGCGAGGCCTGGATGGGGGTCAGCCGTGGGAGAAAGCCCCCTCCTCCCTCTCCCCTAAGGAAGGAGAAACTAGGGTAGGTGCAGGGAAGTCCCACTGCCTCAGCTGTGTGGCTAGGCCAGACCAGGGACCGCCGGCACTTGGCACCATCCTCACAGACACCGCTGACAGGCGAGATCCAGCTCACTTCTGCCTGACGCCCTGCTCCTACCCAGCGTGGCTGCGCCGGCCCCTCCACCTGCACCCAACGCAGAACCCCAGTCCTGCCTGGCCGGGGCAGCTTCCCCCCTGCATTTCTGTTACTCTAGCCTTCTCGTCCTGCTTGTGCCACATTCCTGCTCCCTCCCCGGGGGTGCGCTCTCCACCCCCAGCCTTGGCAGGTGCCTTTTCGCCATCTTTACCTCTTCAAAGAAACTTCTCACCTCACGCCCACTGGGCCACACTGATCTCATAAAACAAGATTGCAATGGAGCATGGGTAAGTTTGAGGTCTGTGTCTCTAGGGCCCAGGGAGAGGCGGCTTTCATTTTGAGAACCTACATGACAGTTCATGGTTGTCTCACAGAGTTCAGACATGAGCCTGCTGGCACAGGCCAGGCAGAGCCAGGACCCCTTGTCCTCACACCCCCTACTCCTGACCTTGACTGCCTGTTTAGTAGGAGTATGATGTTGCTTTACACAGTCAAGCACCTGCGTACTCAGATGCTGATCTGAACCCCGGGGCAGTGGACGGAAGACCCTGCCTTCAGGGGACTTGCCCAGGGTCTCACTGCCAGCAGCTGGCACAGCACCCCTGTCTGGGAAATAGGGCTCATCTGTCCCTCCAGGCTGGGGGTCAGCTTGCTGAGGCCCCGAAGCACAGGGCCCAAGTCCTGGACCACAGTAACTCCCAGCCTTTAGGGCCAGCACACCTGCTTCCTGGGTGGGGTCTCCCCGAACTAAGTGGGGGGAGAGGGGCCTCGGAGCCACTGCTGTCTGCTGCACCCACCCCTGCAGTCCAGCACTGTGGGGGACGTGCCAGCTGGACGTGCCACAGGCGGGCGGACCCCCCCACCCCCACCCAGGGAAGCCCAGCGGACGCCGCGCCCTCACCAGGTCAGGGAAGTACGGCCTGGCCAAGGGCCTCTGGGGCTGCTGTTCGGAGGGGACGTTGGTCAGCCTCGCCAAGCAGAAGAGCTGGGGTATGTCGATGATGTCCTTCTCCACCAGGCCCAGCTCCGTCTTCAGGATCTCACGGTTCAGAAGAATGCACTTCTGAGGGGCCGGGAGAGAGGGAGACGTCAGGAACAGAGAGGCTGCTTCCTTCCCCACCAACGGGACGTGGCCGAGCAGCTGCCACCGTTCCTCTGTGTGCCAGGAGCCCCAGGTCAGGCGGCGCCCCCACCCCACCCCCGACACGGCAGGCAGCGTTCCCAGGGGCAGTGGGGCCACAGAGGCCTGGGCTGGAGGCTGGGATCCCACAGCCAGCCAGGGCCACCTCCCTGCTGGGACCAGCTGAGCCCGGCACCTTGATAGGACCAGACTCACCCACCACGCCTAGGCTGTCCATCCCCAGGGGCTCAGAGGCCGTCTCGGCCCCACGTCTGGCCGCTGCCCACCCTGCCGGGCCAGGAGTCCCTCCCTGTTTTTGCGGAGGTCAGGGTATGGCATGCTGCGCGGCACAGGACACTCTGGGAATAAGGGACCCAGAGAGCAAAGGAACTTCACTCTGACCACATGACCTCGGCAAGAAGTTGCTTCTTTAGGCTTCGGTTTCCCCTTCTAGAAGTCGGGTAACCTCAGTTCTGGGGACTCTGCTTCTCACAGCCAATGATCCACATTCCTAAGGGGTCTCTGAAGACCCAGTGACCCTGAACACTATGCTCGTGGCTGCTGTGATGGGCCACTTCCCCCGGGGAGCGCGGAGAAGGCCCTGGTGCGACTCTGATACTCAGCTCCTCAGAGCGGGGACGGTCCTGCTCGAGGGGCTGCTGAGCTGTGTCACTGCCCCCCAGGAAGGAGACAGCAGGCAGCTGAGTAGCACAAGCAGCGAGAAAACCATGAACTTGGGAGTCACGCTGGGTCCAGACCCAGTCCCAGCCGACTGGCTCAGGCTAACGGCTGTGTCCCAAGCCCACTGCCCCCATGGACGAGCCGAGCTTCACGTTCTGGGTGGTTCCAGGTGCCTCACTCGATGCTCGGGTGGTGGTAGGTGCTTGGTTAGGAAGCTGTCTAGACTGCCAGGGCCTTTTCAGCTCAGGGACAGAGCCAGGTGGGTGGTCATGACTGGAACTCATTCTGACAGTACCTGACGCTGCTGAGCAAGCAGAGTCTCCGCCAGCCCCCTCCCTCCCTCCAGCCCCCGTCCACCCCGGGGTCTAGGTCCCCACCCTCGGCCACCTGTGGCTGACACCTGGGGAAGCTGTGTCTCTACGTGCTTTTTGGTCTCTTCCAAGTACAAGGCACGCCTTGCTGTACTATTGGCTTCCGAGACTCAAGCTCCTCACAGTGCCTCAGTCTCCCCAAGCTGGTAACAGCCAGCTCTGGCCCTGGAGCCGGGCCCGTGGCAGGACCAGGAACAGAAGGCAGCTGCCCCCGCCCAGGCCCCTGCTGGGGATGGCAGGAACCTTCAGGACCCGCAGTGCCAGCCCTTTCTTGGGGAGGGCCCCCCGCGGCCTGGCCCTACCTCTGCAAATTCGTTCTGCTTTCTCAGGTTTTCATCAGCGAGAAACTGATCGATGGTCTTGGCTTCCCTTCCTGTGGGAAGAAGGGTGGGCAGGCCTGTGGGTCAGCTGGGCAGACTCGGGCCGGGCACAGTCAGCTGGATGCATCCGTGGGTCAGCGACTGTGGCGAGTGGCCTCACTGGTCTCCAGAGACCACCTCCGCCAACCCAGCACAACGTCTCACACCTGGGGACCTACCAGGGTCTGCACTGGAGAGCCCAGGCAGGACTCTTTACTGCCACCGCCACTCTGTCCCTGGCGTGAGGGGCGTGGCCTATGCCAGGCTCAGAGAGGCAGCCTAGAACACATCAGCAGGGCAACTGCGGCCCCCATTCACCTCTCAGCCTGACATGATCTGTACAGCCTGGCCACCTCCTACCTGTGACCCTGACCAGGTTACATTCGCTTTGTTCCTTAGTTGGCTACGTTGGGCATCCCCATCCCAAAGATCAGGCATCAGCTCTGAGGTGACAGTCTTTGGCATGTGGTTCATGCTCAGTAAATGTCACCTTCCACACTGCTTCTGTCACCCAGGAGGCTCCTGGGCCCCCGAGACTGGCATTGGGTGGTCTGGAGAGGGGTGGAGGCCTGTGCCCTCATGTGCTCCTGGGGGTCTCGGGGGCTGCTGGCCCTCGGACCACACTTCGGGTATCAAGGGTCTAGAGAACTTCCTGGCACGCCCGCCCCTTTCAAAGGAAACGGTCCCTTTGTGTCACTACAGCGCTTAGATAAAAAGTTCTACGGCTGCAGCCACACAGCCTCTCTGGTCTTTCACGCGCCTCCGTGAGGGTGCCCAGGTTTCTGGCCCGACATCCCCCAGTAAGGCCAGGCACCAGCATCGCTCGCGTTTGTTCTTCCCCCACTCGGGGCCGCCGTGTGCTCAGTCCGTCCCTTTCAGACATGCCCTAGCGGCCCCTGGCCAGAGCTGCCGGTCTGCCTGTGTTGTCCCAGTACCGCCGGAGGAGCGGGGAGATGGCCTCACCGCCTTCCAACAGCGTTCACATCCCCCCGAGACCCTTTCTACCAGGAGTGACAGAATGACCATCTGGAAAGGACCTCTGAGGACGCAGGGACCCAGCTCCGTCTTGCGGGGGAGGGGCTCGCTTACCGTTGGAAAGGAGCTGGTCCCCCCTGACCTCGTCAAACAGGAGCGCGTTGCCGTAGCCTTGCCTCTGCTTCTCCTGCAAGAGTGTGTAGCAGGCTCTGGGGCTGGCCAGGAGCAGCTGGAAGCTCTGGGAAGAGACCTGGGGTCAGAGGCTACCGTCTTCCCCAGGAGCCACCAAGGGTCCCCAACAGAAGGCGTGGGAGACGTGGTCAGAGGTGCCTACCCCAGCCCCCACCACAGACCTTTTTGCCGTCACTCTTGTCATCTATGGGGACGAAGCACATGAACTCATCCATGTGGCCCGACATCAGCCAGTCTGCGTAGAGCTCCACTGGGGCCTGGACCTGCTGGGCATAGAGGAAGTCTCGGAGGGCCTCACTCATGGCCCGGCCCTCTGCGCTAGAAGGAAGATGGAAAGAACAGCCCTTGAGCCAGGGCGGCCCCGTCAGCTGCCTGCCACTCGGCAAGCGTCCGGCCACCTCCTGGTGACGGGCCCCTCCGACTGCTGGGTGGAAGTGGCCAGCCCGTGGAGGGCGGGGTGGTTAAGAATCCCTGACTCTGACCCAACTCGGGACAGAGCCAGGCGACTCTAGGTAGATGGAACTCTGAACACAGTGCCGTTCCCATCTGTGGTTAGGAAGTCCAACCACACCTTCGTGGAAATAGCACCACTTTGGGCCGACAGGCCGGCTGAATCTCACTTGCTTCAATTTAAACCCTTGAATCAAAGAATAAACCATTTGCTTTTTCTACCTTTCATCTCCCTACATGAAGCAGAGGCTCAAAGACCCTTCTCAGTTTAAGAAGTGGCCCGGCGCACGGGCTGCTGAGGTTCTGAGAAGCAGGTAGAGCCAGGTTGGCTACCAGGGTCCCTTTCTTTAGTTTTAGAGACATCTGGCCACCATGCGCTCTCCTGGCTCACCTGGGGTAGAACCTGCTGCCGATGAGGACCCTGCCCAGGGGGTATTCCTTCCCCTGGACCTTGACAGGCGGGGAGACCATCAGGTTCCCGATGGAATCCATGCTGGCCACCGTGTGGTCCTTGGTCTCCTGGATCATGTAGCCGACACCAGGGCTCTGGAAGGAGAGTTCGGCGGGGTGGGCCGTTGAAGGGAATGGCGGCAAGCCCCATTCTCACCCCTAATCCAGAACCTCAGGGGGACTTCCGTATCCCCCTCCCCCGAGGCCACCTGGACCCTCTCCTCTTCCCTTGCGTCCCATCACGTCCTGACAGGTGCCAGGCCCGAGAGGTGGGACCGGGCTCAGATCGGCCAAACCGAGCTCCTCACCAGTGAGTATTTCATGGAGATCTCTTCAAGTAAGATAGCCCGAGGGGTGTCGAGGACGAAGGACACCGTCTTGTGGGGCGCCTGGGTGTAGCAGAAGGCCATCTCATCCTGGAGGAGACAGGACACGGGTTGGGAAGTCGTCTCACCCCCTCCACTGCTCTTCTGTGTCTGGTCTCGGGCCACAGCTCCCTGGGCCCAGGCCACCTCCAGAGGTGCAATAAGAGCCCCTTCTTCCTGCCAACTCCTGCTCAGCCTCAGCCCAGCCCAGCCCAGCTGTCACCTCTTGAGGCCATTCTGACCCCTTTTCTCCTACTCTTCAGGTTTAGGACTCAAGTCACCCAGATTCTCCATTTTCTTCCGTACCTAGTTCCTTAAGCCTCGTTGGCTTCACTTAAACATGTTCCGCAAGTCAACTCATCTCTGGTACCACCTGGGAAGCCACCATGATCTCTTCCCTGTACCCCCACGATGCCGTCCACCCCGTTTCCCTCTTCTGTACTTGCCCGTCCTAGGATCTATTCCCTACATCTCAGCCAGAAGTGGCTTTTGAAAACCCTAAGTTACCAACCTTGCATTCCTCCCAATTTGTGCCTTCCGGTCATCTTGCCCTGCCCTGGGGTTCTTTGTATCTTTTACCTTCTGGCTTAAGAGGTCCCCAAGATAAGATATCACCCTCGCCTACCTCCAACTTTTGTTCGCTACAATCACCAGCCCTTCCATTCATGTCCTCCGAGCAGACTCATTCTGGTCTTCATCTGTCTGTGCTCATGGGGCCCCTATATCTAATCCCACCCCCCAGCCTCCATGTGGCCACCTCTTTGTGTCTTTTCACAGCACTTAGCTCTGTCCCTTGCTGGAGCAGGGGCAGCTCCCGTGCTATTCTGTCATCTCTGGCACTGAGGATGGTACACCCAGCACACAGTCTCAAGTATCTGTGGCGTAGGGCAGAGCTCCAGAGCTGAACGCTAACCCGGGCTCTAGATCTCGCGCTGTGCCAGGGTCAGGTGGAGCCCTGGGGCTGGGGCCCAGCCCCAGCAGACTTAGCTGAAGGCACCAGAACCTCCAGGTGCCTGGGGGTCAGGTGTTCTGTGGTCTTGAACCCATACATTCTGAAAGGGGAAGAGGGTTGGGCTCTAAGCTCTATCCCTTAGCGGCCACGACTTGGGCGAGTTGTTCTCAAAGAACCTTAGCATGGAGATGCCTCTATCGAGGCTCAGGTTTGCCGTGAATTTAACCAGAAGCCCGTGAACTCCCTCCTGGGTGGCACATGCCAAGTCTCCTCCCCTCCCCCACAGCGGGTTCCCCCAGGTGGGGTGTTACCTGGAGCCACTTGCCCAGGCGGTTGGGGTCCTCATAGACAGAAGCCACCTGGAAGTGGTTCTCCTCGCTCAGCTCCGTCACCGTGTTCACAAATCCCTGGAGCTGCAGCTCTCTGCCACGGGAGATAAGTCAGCTCCAGGAAGGCCACTGAGCCTCCCCACGCTGGCCATGATCTCCCGTCCCGGGAAGGATCACGCCTCCTTCTGATCAGGAGAGATCACGCCCCTGCCGGCGGGGTGGACAGCAACTGCCCCTCCCCGCCCTCAGAGCCCGCCTCACCCACCCAGCGTCACGGCTCAGCCCATGGCAGAGCCAGGTCAAGAAGTGACGGTGTCAGCCCCTGCCCTGGTGGCCTCCGCCTGTTCTCTTTAGGCACGTTCTACCCCTGTCCCAGGCAGTTGGGGACCTCTTCCCTCAGCCCACCCAAAAATATCATCTGATTCTTCTTTTGAGGGGGCTCCGTTTTTCCCCAAGAACCCAAGAAACTGGGTCCCCCATGAGACAGCCAAGAATATTGTCATATTCCTGTACGTGGCACGGGGTGGGGCTTGAACCTGGGCTCTTGGTGCCATCACGTCCAGCACCAGGCTTGTGAATCTACAGCAGACACCCCTTCCTTGAAGATGGAGTGACGTTTGAGGCTGATGTTAAGATCACCCACTTTATAGACAAATAGAGCCACAGGAGTTGAACGTCAATGGTGCTGTATTATTGGGAAGGTGTCAGCCCTGGCATTTCAGTCCAGCTCCAAAGCTCACGTTGCTGTTCTATCAGGTTGCTATGCTGTCCTATTAGTAACAGTGTGACCACTAGTGTACTGTTCACAGCGTCCTATAGCTACTGCTCCAGAGAACCTATTTCTTGGGTCCACACCAGGGATCCTCAAACTTTTTAAACGGGGCCAGTCCACTGACCCTCAGACCGTGGGAGGGCCGTTGGAGAGTGCGGCGCACATTCCACACATGCGCGCTGTGAGCCCGGGACGAGTCGGCTGCTAAGCAGGACAGGCAGCGGCGGCAAAGACACCCAGCAGGCCGGATAAATGTCCTCGGCGGGCCGAATGTGGCCTGTGGGCCATAGTTTGAGGACGCCTGGTCTACACAGACGAGGCTATGGGGAGCCGGCCATCCATCCGATGTCTAGAACAGCCTACAGATGTTTACTTGGGGAAGGGTGTGTAGCCCCAGTCTTGTAGGTCTTCTGTGGCCAAGCTGGGTCAGGCCATGCCCGACTACCACCCTTAGGGAGACCGGGTTTCTTTGAAGCACAGTGGCCGCCTGTGGGTGAGCAACCTCTGTCTTCAGATACAGACGCCAGATCTGTCTTTCGTATGTGCCACCCAGCAAAATCCCATCAGATCTTCCCCCGAGATCTGATCTTTCCATCCCGAAATGCGCTGTTCCTCCGAGGACCCTTGGACCTCACTCCCCGGCAGCCCTCCCACGGGTGATCTGTCTGTGCCTCGCTGGGCCTGGAGGAGGGCGGGTCCTTACCACGCGTGGCCGCACCCAGACATCTCCTCCCTTAACACCCGGCCCCTGTCTCGTACGTGCCCTCCAGCCACGGGAGGTGCCGCCCTGCCAGGATACCCGGTCACCCTGCTGGTCTACCTTCTCTGACTTTGCATCTCTGCTACCGTCCGCAGTAACATGCCCACATACGCGATCGTGCCGTGCCACGGCCCGTTTCGATCCCCGACTTCTCATCTTGCACCCTGGGTCCACCGCCTGCGCTGCTGGCCTCAGCAGCTCCACGATCTCGAGCAGACATCCAGCCCCGACCGCCGTCTCCCCGAGCCCTAGGCTGGTGGCTCTGCCTCACTGGGACCTCTGCCCCTTTTCCTCTTTCTCCCTTCTGTGGTGCGTCATCATTGCATGATCTTGACCCTGGGCAAGCCCAACCCTGGCTGGACCCGGGTCTGCATCTGCTCTCCCCTAGAGTTTGTTACTGAGTAGCTGGAAAAAAGCCCATGGTGGCGTCTCTCTCTAGGTGGCCAAGCTAGACAGGCTGCCAGCGGCGCCCAGCCATCTTGCCAGCGCTTCTCCTAGTAGTTCCTCCTGGAACGGCGGCGAGCTGTCTCGTGCGCCAGCCGCTTTCTGGTTTCTGCACCTGCCTCTTCCCTCCCGTCGGCTCTTCCCTTCTCCGCTAGGTCGTTCCCGTTGTCCTTTGCTTCCTCCTTTAGAAGGCAGCCTTCAGGTAAGGAGCCTGCCGTAAGGGACACGTGGCTGTAGTAACTGGCGGCAGCCGGTATGGAGTTGGTGGGGCCAGGGGTGTCCTACCTTCAAAGCAGTCCCGAGTCTAACTGCTGTGTCCGAGCTGGTCTCTTACCTTTTATATGTATTTAGTTTTCCATGTGACGGGGTGACAGTATAGACAGTATAGACAGTATAGACCTTGGTGGTTTCCCACGGGTTGTGTCCACATCCTGTTTCCTCCTCCTCCCCGGGCACGTGGCCAGGCAGCCAGAGACCATTCCTGGCGTTCCCGAGGCTAACATGGCCTATGCCTCTTCAGGCTTTGGTACGTGAACAGAAGTGGTCCAGGAGGCTTCTAGACCCCCAGCAGCAGACGGGCAACTCCACCTGGACTTTGGCTTTTACCCCTTCCTGGGGCCTGGGCCTGGAAGTGCATGTGCCCGGCCTGCATGGTAAACATGGAGATGCCCCGGCCCAGGGGAAAGTATCCTAACCAGGCCAAAAGGAACCCCAAGTGACGGTGGGGAGCAGCACCACTCCCTGCCTGCAGGGTCTGGGTGAGGAAGACACCACGCCGCTGTATTTGTGGTGCAGCTCAGCCCCAGAGCCCAGACGGCCCTGCTTGCTTTGGCCCTATCCCCCCACTTCCTCTGGCTCCAGCCTGTTCTGACTCTGTCAGCCTTTACCCTGTTTGGGGGCACTTGGCACTCCCTAAGACCATGCTATTTGACCCCTGTAAGAACAGGGGGACCACCTCATTCATCTTGCGGTCCCCAGCTTTGGGAGTATTCAAACACATCAGGGGGCTGACTTGGGGCAGGCCCGGCCAGCTCAGATGGAAGGACTTTACTCTCCTAGGGAGGTGTCCTAGTCATCTTCACCCGCCCTGCCCTGCTACAGACAGAAGGCACTCGCTATGAGGACCGCCCGGCCCAGGCAGCCTGAGGCTTCTTACCTGCACAGGTAAACCTCCAGTGGCATCTGGGTGCTGGGAAGAAAGATGCACGGAGCCACGCGGAACACCACTGTGTCTTTGTACACCGGGACCTCTGGGATCAACTGCGACATAAGACGGGGTCCCGTCAGCGACTGGCTTCCGCGTCCATGCCCTCCCCCTCTCGGCCTAGCTCGCCACCGGGCCGCCTCACCTGCCTTCTGCGGCTTCTCCCCGACCCCTAGCTCTGCCCACCAAGCCTCCTGTTCCCTCCGTCCTCTGCCCAACTGTGAGACATGCTCCCCCGACCGGAGCATCCTAGTCCGAGGCTTGTCTCCTTGGGGACACACCGGGTCTTGAGACTCTTCCACCAGGGAGGCAGAGTAGGAGATCAGGCCCGAGAAGCTGGCGGACGGGAACTCCGTGGCTTCCACGTAGAGGGTCTCCTTCAAGTGGTTCCCCAGGAGGGGCAGGGTGTAGGTGTGCTGGCCGGGCCCCAGCACCAGCTCGAAGGTATGAGCGCTGTCTTCTAGGGGAGGGAAGGGACAGACCGGCTACCGAAACAGCCTGGTGCTGGTCAAGGCACCACCCATTTCTCACGTCAGACGCTGGGCTGTGGGTTCTAGAGCTGGCTTGTTTCTTTAAAAAAACACAACACAAAAAAAAAACAAAAACAAAAACAAAAAAAACAATCTTGCTCTGTCCCCCAGGCTGGAGTGCAGTGGCATCATCATAGCTCACTTAACCTCCTCCCAAGTAGCTGAAACTATAGTCACACGTGCCACCATGCCCAGCTAGTTTAAAAAAAAAGTCTTGCTCCACTGCCCAGGCTGGTCTTGAACTCCTGGCCTCAAGCGATCCTCTTGCCCTGGCCTCCCAAAGTGCTAGGATTATAGGCATGAGTCCCCACACCCATCCTGTCCCCATGTTTCTGGTGTCTAGGGCTTAGGGGACACCCAGATGTCTGTTCACGGGCAGAGACAGGTCACTCGACAGCACAGTGAGGGTTGTTACGAGTTAGGACTCAGCCCTCAGTTGCCATCTTCGAGGCCTTCAGTCCAGGGTGAAGATTCAGGGTGGGTGGTTCTACGCCTTGACCCAGGAATCGAACTTTTGGGATGATAAAGTCCCGAGGGTGAGAGACTGCACCAAGTTGGGCTTGGCAGCCTCATCTGAGAAAGTCACTTACACCAGGAAGCTCAGCGAGAACCGACTAGTCCGTGGATGATGCCTCAGCGGAAAGTTTCTGAGGAAACCAAGTGTTCTCGTGATTGTACGTGGTAAGCCTGTTTTCTTCTAGTTTTAGGTCAATTAAAAGTGAAGCCACACGAGGAAGCTGACCACACTCGGTCATTGCCGCCCATTAACTAGACCCCAAACCTGCCCATTTTGCACGCCGGAGATCACCTGACCCAAAGCCACTGCGCTCCTCCCACCTGGGCCCCTGGAACTCCTGCCTGCCTGGCCTTCGCCTCCGTCCTCCTCCATCCTGGCGTGGCAGCTGTAGTCCCGGCGGCCGTGGCTATTTGAGGTCGCGGTGGATCCTTACCTTAGGGGAACTCTAAACCAGTCTGCCTTGGCCACCAGAACCGGAAGATCTGGGCACTGCGTCTTCCTCTGACCTCTGCGTGGCACGTGCCAGCTGCTGCCGGCTCCGGTTCGCCCAGCGCGTCAGGCGGCTGCTGCGGCCATGGCTGTCCCCAGGTCAGGCTCTTGGGCCTCCTGCGCAGGGTCGTGGCTGTAGCAGCCCCCAGACGGGCTCTGGAGTTCCGAAGCAACACCTCCTCCGAGGCACCGGGGTGCCCGCCACAGGCCTGGCCTCGCTCTGCCTGCCGAGCTGGCCGAGAGGGGGCCGGGCCAAGTGGGAACGCTCCTTCCTTGGTTTCCACTTCCGGTCTGCTGGGAGGCTTCCTCGCTGCCCCGAGTGGGCGAGACCGGACGAGGCAGGCTTCTACCAGGACCCCCTCGACCCCCCAGCACAGACAGGGTACTCGGCCTGCTGCAGTGAGCTGGCCCACCACGGAGTTCCCGACCACCAGGCCTGAGTGCTGCTGCAGGCCCAGGGCCTTCTGTCCTGGGGACCCGGGCTCCCTGCACAGGCGAGTCACCGCTGGGCAGTGGGGGTGAGGGGCACAGTCCACTTGCCCCAGGTCCCTGCCTGCTGTCTCAGTCCCTCTGCAGTTGACCCTCTGGGGCCTTCTCCTAGCCAGGTACTTGTTTCAAAGCACAGCCGGCACTTCACTGCAGACTCACTACATGCCAGGGACTGTGCCAGGTGTTACAGGCTCGGGGACTCACCTGCATCCTCGACCCTTTGAGGAAGGTGCTCGTTTATCCCCACTAGACAGATAGGCAGGGCCAGAAGCCTCACGACCAGCGTGACAGTCACCTCCGCCTAGAAGGCCCTTCCCACTCTCAGGGTCTACGTTGCCACCACTCGTGTCTTAGCTACCCTTCAACTCCTGCCCACCTGGCTCTCAAAGGGCTACACCCAGCCCCTGCCTGGCCCCTGGCTGTCCCCTAGCCTGGCAGGCTCCGAGAACAGGTGGCTGTTCAGCTCCCAGGGCCGGATCCCTCAGGGCACGGTAGATGCCGACAAATAGAGCCGAGCTTTGTTCTCACCCGCCATGTGCCACCAGGCCTAGGGGCGGGGCGGGCGTCCTCTTTGTTCTTCATCAGCACTTCAAGGCCATTTTCCCGCATTCCTCAAGAATCCCAGTCCCTTTGGGGCGCTGTCAGGTAGTGCCACCTGCCCCCTTCATTACGGCTGACTGCCATCCTGTGGGTCGCCCTAGCACCGGCTCACCTGCGCCACTGTCACCACTGGCATTTGACACCACCTAGACGTCTTCAACCTTACCTCGCTGCACTCGAGTTCTGTCCCACCTTGGATGCCCATTTCTGGCGTCACGCACGGGCCAGACCAGCTGCCCCTCCACACTGTCCCATCTTTTTATAGCTCATCTGCGCCCCCGCCCCAGATCTTCCCGAGGCAACTCGTGCCCTTTGCTGCCTTTTCACCCTTCTCAGATCCCACGATCTGTCACTGTGTCTACACCCTCAGACACGATGGCCACTCCCAGACCTTTTTAAGTTTGCTTGCCTGGAAAGACTGCAATTCTGGTTAAACCAACTCTTTAAAACTCACTCTCAATCACCCCAACAGCTAGAGAAGCCACCGTTCGGAAACGGCCTAGTTCCAGCAGTGGCCAAGCTCAGAGCCAGCCTTCACTGCCACGGTGTCGCGTTTGTATTCCGAGTTGTGTGTGTTCTCAAGATTCCTTTCTCCAGGGCCACTGCCGCACCTGTTGGGCCGGCCCACTGGCACACAGATGTGCCCATGTCCCACCATCCTCAGACGTGCCCCGACTCCACGCCAGCCCCGCCGCCACTTGTTACCACCGCGCGTCTCCCTAGAAAGCAAATTCCTTCCATGCCGTGCTCACCGTGCCTGCCCATTGCAGCCTGGTTTTCATCCCACTGTGCTTGTCAGGGTCACCGATGACCGTCACTTGGAAGACCATGACTTTACGGGCTCTGGTACCTTAGTCTATCAACAGCATTTGCCACGGTTGGTCACTGCCTGCTCGAAGGGCTTTTTCTAGAGCCGATGCTCTGACTTTCTATGTGTCTATGTGTCAGTCTTCAGATCCCTTTGCTATCTCTTTTAGACTAGTGGTTCTCCAGCCTCAGCGTGCTTCAAAATGACCCGGAAGGGGGCTTGCTAAACCCCCTGCCCTGGATTCTTGAATAAGCTTAATACGGAGAAGCAGGCAGTTCACTACGCTCCACACAATGAAATACGGCATCCTTAGCAGGCTGCTGAACTGGTGGCCTCCTGTGTGGACGCCCGGGACCACCCGTCCTGGCCTAGCCTACCACAGCATCGTCCGTGCTGGGGAGGACTCGTGGGGGGGCCTGCACCCGTGGGTTTGAGGCCCACTCCTAGCCCACGTGCAGAGGCTACATCCAACCTGGGCTGCCTCCTCTGGCTCATCCCAGGCCATTTCCAAGCCCACCTGTGACTTCGGGGCTGCAGAAGAGATGGAGCAGGGACTTCGTGCAGGGCCCCTGAGCACAGGGAGGAAGTAGAGGCATAGCTCCCCTAGTGACAGACGGCCCCTGAGAATAGGCACATTGTAGACCACAGGGCTTCCCAATTGCCCAGCTGAAGCCAAGTGTGGCTTTTAAAGGGTGGCCTATCAGTACATGCCTCCAGAAACAGAGTTAGGTCTCAACTTGAGAAACTTAGAGACATTAAATACTAAGCCAGTTAAGGGAAGTGAAGACTTGGTGAAGGACATTTCGCTGGAGTTCACGTTTACCTTCCAAGTCGGCAGCCCTGCAGCCCACGAACCGAGCACACCACTGGCCTCCCAGGGAGAGGAGGGCTGAGGAGGGGCCGTGGTTGGCGTGGGGGCTGGGCTGTACGTGCTACTGTATCTGCTACTCTGGCTCTTTGGCCTCTGAATTCTGGAAGTTTAATGGCATGGGGTCTTGGTTAAAAATGAAGCTGGATTCTTCCGATAGGAATTATCAGACGTCTCATCTACATAAGGCAATAGCTCCCATGTCAGCTAACATGCATTTCTGTTCCAGCTGAGAGAATCCTGCTGGGTAGGCACCATCCCCAGTTTTGCAAATGGAGAAAGTGCCTTAGAGGTACAATAGCTTGCCCATGTGTATAGACTTCGTCTTTGGTGAAGGTGGCAGCCAGAGAACCCCAGGGACGCAGGTCTGGCCACAGCAGCCCCAACCTACAGGTCTCAGAGGGGACCCTGCAGCGTAGGCATGAGCACAGCATGCCCCAGCACCTGAGGGCAGATGAAGCGGGGGTTGGCACCAGAGTACTCACTTTGGGGCCAGTAGACTCTTGCCTTCTTCGACTCTTCCTCGGAGGTGTGGAGGACCAGCTGGTATTTCTTTAAGGTGTAGCTGGGGCCTTGGACGTTCAGCATCATCTGGGACAGGTTCTTTATTTCTGGGCAAAAGACCAGGCAAAGGTTCAGGGGCTTCTGGAGGCCAGCACCCCAGGAAGGGAGGGCAGGGAGGGGGCTTGCCCGAGGACCCTCTGCCGTGGCCAGGCCACATTGCACCCTGCTGCCTGTTCTCCGAGTGACCACAGGCAAGTCACCAATCTCAGGGCCCACTTTGTTTTGTTTGGGGACAGGGTCTCACTCTGTTGCTCAGGCTGGAGTGCAGTGGCATGATCACAGCTCACTGTAACCTCCAACTCCAGGGCTCCCGAGATCCTCCTGCCTCAGCCTCCTGAGTAGCTGGGACTACAGGTGTGCACCACCACACCCTGCTAGGTATTTTTTTGTGTGGAGACGGGGGTCTTATTACATTGACCAGACTGGAAGGCTGACTTTTGAGCGAGGGTGGCATTAACCCACAGTCCCCATGGACACACAGAACAGGGCCTGACTCAGTCAGTTCAGCAAGGGTTCACACCTCTAGCCTTGGAACCCCTCCTCCCGCTGACCCCCAGCCACAAGTCAGGACCAGCTCCAAGACTGCTTTTTCCTAAGACAGTCAGGGTTCCTGGCCCGGGACATGGGAGGCTTTTTAGCAAGCAGCTCACATGCCCTTGTCTTCATTTAGTCTTTTCAACCATCGTGAGAGGCCAACCGTATCATCCCTATTTTATAGAGGACAAGATTAGGGAAGCTGGTGTGCTCAAGTTCACAGCCAGGGAGTAACAGTCTGTAACAGCCCACGTGGCGTCTTCCTTCCTAGTTACACAGCTCCGAGCCAGGACAGGTGGCTTGACCAGCCTGGGCACGAGGGGGCGGGAGGGGAGGTCAGGACGGAATCGCCTGCCAACGGGCAGGGCCGAGAAGGCAGCGCCCACAAACGAGAGGTGGGCTCAGTCCCGGGTCTCACCGTCAGAGAGGAGCACCTTCTTGGTCTCCTTGACCTGGTCCTCGAGCTGGCCTGGGTCAGGACTGCAGTTCACGAGCAGGATGGCACCCCAGCCGTTGGGGCCCCAGGTCCATTTTTTCTGCAAGTGAGACAGGAATGTCGGCTTGGGAAAAAGCCAAGTAACCCCCCCCCCACTTCTCAGACGCCACCTCAGGTCATTGGGCCTAGCCAAGCCTTTCTCCAGGGCAACGGTGACCTTGCGAACAAGGTTTGAGGCCCCGTAGGAACAGGAGGGTAACACTGGGCAAGTGGGCCAAGAGGAAGGGGAAAAGCTACCGTGTTTCCCCGAAAATAAGACCTACCCATAAAATATGACCTAGCAGGATCTCTAAGCATTTGCACAATAGAAGTCCTACCCTGAAAATAAGACCCAGTGATGGGCGTGGCTACACAGCGCATCTGCACAACCCATGCATTTCATCACGGAGGGGTAAAGATGACGAGCAGCCCTTCTCATCTGCCCCATGAGAGCTCTACTGCTCTACATGAGATTGGGGCTGATGGTTCTAAAGGAAATAGAGTCGCAAGAAATTCAGGATGGAATTCGGGGCTTGGAGAGTTATGATGATGCTCCGGAAGATGACGACTTAACTATATCTGAATCAATGTAGATTGTTGTAACCATACTTAAAAAAATAACACATCCCCTGAAAATAAGCCTAGGGTGTCTTCTTGAGGAAGACTAAATATAAGACCCCGTCTTATTTTCGGGGAAACACAGTAGATCCGCGTTACTAGTGACCTACTTCGTTTCGGTGCTGGAGAAGCAGGGACACAGGCTTATGGGAAGAGATGTCCCACCTGGAGGTGGCAGCTAACCAACCCTCTGTTCCAGGTGACTATATGACCACGCCAGGACGTGACCTTAATGTCAGACATTCTAGCCTTCTGAATAAGTTAGACGCTGTCAGTTCTGACTCGGGTTGCAGCAATTTGATGGAAGAGACACCAAGAGGGCCAGACTCGGCCTGTCTCCGGGCCAGGTCTGGCTCACGGCCCCACCCCACTCTCACCTTTGCCTTCTTGTCACTCGGCAACCCGACTTGCCCAGTGCGGTAGATGTCTACCTCCAGGGAGACGTCTGAAACAAACGAAGGGCGTCTCAGCCACCCAGACAGAGCCTGGAAGCTGCAGGTGCCCCCCTGCCGCCCCCCCCCGGGACTGCCCGGGGCTGTATCGGCCGCCAGCCCCTCCGCACGCTGGGGGTTTGGAAGCAGGTGGTGTGCTCAGAGCGGCCGCGTGCTCACGTGACTACCCCAAACCTCCCAGCTCCCAGAGCCAGCCTATTGTTGTCGGGATGCCATCTCAGGCCTTAACGCCTTCTACCCAGGTGGTTCTAGTTTGGACAACATACCTCCCTAGCCTTCTGGAAAACTCTTTGCACTCTAAGATGTAGGAAGGAGGGCTCTATATGTAAATTCCAAGCCCCTTTAGAGCTAAGGATCTAGACTTCCATCCACATATCACCCATGGAGGCCCCTTAATGCCCCCTACCCCCACCCATCATGTACGTGGACCGTGTGGCTTCGTCACGGGCCTTTGTCCACAGCTCCCGTGGACACACTGTTTCCCAACTGCAATGTCAGAGCCACGAGCACAGACCTGGTTGGCTGCCACGTCCTCAGTACTTGGCACACAGACGCCTGCCGTGAGCCCGACTGTCCCAGGTCTCTCAGACGCAGCGGGCAAGACAGGAGCCCTGTCCTCTCGCACTTACGCTAGCACGTGAGTGTGTGGCAGGGGTGGGGCGACACAGCAGTGAGAACATGGGAAACGGGGACGGGGAATGGGGCGGGGGCGTTTGAGCTTTAGAAAAAAAAAAAAAAATCAGAGAAGTTTCAGTTGAAATTTAAAAAGACCTGAAGGAGGCAAGAAAATAGTCTGTGCTTGTATCTGGAGTAAAAGCTACTAGAGGAAATGGGAAGTACAGGTTGCAAGTTCAAGGGTCACAGTAGCCAGTAGTGCCCAGAGCAGAAGGAAGGGGGCAAGAGTCGTAGGTCACAAGGGGCTGCCGATGTAGGTTTTGTGGGCAGCAGCGACTCTGGCTCTGATCTGAGCAGTTTGGAAGCAGCTGGAAGGCTTTGAACCGAGATGTTACATGATGTCTTAGAGACGTGCCAGCTGGAAGATGGAGCTACCCCCCTACCGCGATGGGGACACGACTAGAAAGAGGTTTTGTGGGGGTAGAAAGAGTCAGTTTGTTGGACCATATTGAGCTTGAGATGTTGATTGGTCACCCAGGAGTGTATGTTGGGTAGGCAATGCCCAAGGCAAGTGCACGGGAGATGACCAGCTGGAGATGGCTCTGGGAGTAGTCTGCCTATAGGTGACATTAGAGCCACGTGACCGGCTTCCTGAGCCCTGACACACTTCACCGGCCAGCTTGGGAGACAAAGTCCAGCAAAGCGCTCCGAGAAGGAACAGGCAGGGAAGACGTGAGTGCAGCATCCCTGGAATGTTCCAGTGAAGGGTGCCAGGGTGACCAGTTGTATTAGATGCTGCTGACAGCTAAGGGCAAGAGGGAATGGACACCTAGACCTGGTGAAGAGTTAGAGTCTTTGGTGAGAGCTCTGTTGGTGGTCGGTGTCTGGGTGGATTGGGGGGAGAGAGGAGAAATCGAGGACATATAGGTGGCCCCCATGTAGCAGAGAGGTGGAGGATGGAGCTTAAGGACAACATGGAATCAGGTTGGAGATGCTGTGGCTCCTTCGTGTTGGGGGGTGGCAATGACACAGAAGGGGGGAGGGGTGGTGGCGTCTTACATCAGTAAGAAGAACCGCTAAAGGGATGACTGGAACAAGGGGGGGAGAGGACCTAGCGAGACAGGAAAGGCGAACACAGACAAGTCAGTTGTGACGGAGAAGGTAAGTGACATGAGTAGGTGGGTAGGTGACAGTAACACATGGAATTTCTGGCTGCTTCTGTCCCGAGGAAGTTGGGTCGGCAGTACATGTGGAGGGAGAGCGGTGATTGAGCTCCAGAGAGGGAGCACGTGAGCGAGGATCTTGGATTAACCTGCTCAGGAATTCGTGCAAGAGTTCCATGGGCCCATGGGAGGCACCTCCCTCATTGTAGAGAAACCCTTCTTGGTTCATGTAATGCCCACCCCATGCCACCAGGGGGGGCTGGGCCCCGGTGGGAACAGCACTCACCGATGCCAGTGAGGTACAGCACGGCTGTACCCAGGGACATCTCCTCGTTGGTGCCATAGTACGTGACCAAGACCTGCGGAGACAGTGTCCAGACCCGCGGGTATGTTAGAGGGCAGGGTCAGGACACAGCCCGCGGAATCTTGGCGTGTGACCTCGGTCTCCTGTCATGGCTTCTGAGCTTCCCATGTCTTGCTGTGAGCTGGTACAAGTGTGGTGCCACACTTAAGACAGAGTCAGTCCTGGGCATTTATAAGCTGCCACCACCCTTGCAACCTCTTCTACACTAGGCTAAACCCATCCAGGTGGGAGCAACCCCCCCCAAAGGCAGAGGGGTCACCCCATACCATTTAGGAAAATAGGACAGAACAGGGTTTCAGAGCCTAAGCTATAAACCTCATCATACACCCCCCTGCCACACCTGCCCTCCTGGGCCCCCCACTGCTCTAGGAGGTGGGCGGTGGGAAAGGGGGCCTCTGATGGCTTTGGCTGCTTGCTGAAGACGCGGGACACCTGGGCTGGTGAGCTGAGCTGGAACTTAGTCCTTCCTGTTTTGCAAACCAGCCTCTGCTTCCAAAGGGGCCTCTGTACTTTAGACAGACCTGCCCTTCAGCCGTGGGCCCTGATCACGGGGTTTGTCAGGAACCAGACCCAACCGTTAGCTACAAAACATTTACACGTGTAATCTACCACCAGTTCCCTAAGTGGAAGCTGTAGTCCAAGGTGAAGCATCTCACTCTGCTGGCCTCTCTTGACGGTAGTGGAGCCTGAGCCCTGGGCGGAGAATGGTCCTAGTTCCTACCTAGGTGCACCCTCAGGGCATTGCCCACCTGGGCACGGAGCATAAGCGGGGGTGTGTACTACACGTCAGCCACCTGAGCTCCAGCTCCTGCCAGCAACACCTGCACGTTCCAGTGGGAACTGCTTCATGGCGGTCCTCGCCCCAGCTCTGGAGTGGAGTCACCTGGGGAGCTTTAAACTGCAGCGGCCAGGGGACTCGAGTTCTGATATAATTGGTAGGGGGTGGGGCCTGGGTGTTATCCAGTCCCCGGTGGTGCCAATCTGCAGCCCGAGTTGGGCACCACTGCTCTGATCGAGCTTCTATGGCAGAACCACTACCCTGCCCCCCCCAAGACTGGCAGCCTGTTCTGCAACACCCCCCCCCCTCCACAGGTGTCCCACCAAGGGATCAGCTCCTCCAGGAGCAAGAGCACAGACTCAGGCTCAGATCCTGGATCTACCCCACGCTGGTTATGCTGTTTAGGCTGATCTGGGCCTCAGTTTCCTCAGGTGAAATGAGGGCAGAGGCCAGTCCCTTGATTCAAGCTATCTAGCGTATAGCCTGCGTTGAATACACCTTAGCAATTAAGTGTCACTGAAGTCTTCACGACCAGAAGAGCTGCCTCAGCCAAAAAGCCCATGTGAGTCACGCTGGTCACTTTTAAGCCAGGCGTTAACAGCAGCTGGACGGGAAGCCGGCCCGGCGTCACGCTCAGACGTGCACGTGCCAGAGACAGACACTCTCAGCTCGAATCCCAGCTCTGCCGACTACCGGCTTGGGCAGGGCACCCCCCGTGCCTCAGTCTGTTCATCTGCGCCATGGGCCCGTGGAGCGCCTCCCCCAGGCTCTAAGCCCTGGGTGAGAGGGGACACGCAGGACGCCCGCCCCGCGTTTCTCACAGGCCAGGGGCACGTCAGCCGTCAGGAGGGGACCCCAGGGGCTGTGCCAGGTCCCAGCCCGAGACACCCCTCGTCCCTCTGCCCCAGGCTGACCTTGTCCCCGTCCACCATGAAGCTCGGTGATGTCATCTTCACGATGGCGTACGTGGGCTCGGTCAGGGGCCACCAGATGGTGGCGTCCTCCTTGTCGGTGATCATCGTGTCCGCGATGTCGATCAGGACCCTCCCCGAGCCGTGGATGGTGAAGCACTCGCACATCTGCGGGGCGCACCTGTGTGCCCAGCCAGGAGGCAGACTTTAGGGCCAAAGGCTCACCTCCTCGGCCTGGAAGGTAGCTGGTACGGTGGCGGACGGCCCCAGATCCTCACTCTCCTTAGCGGGCCCAGGCGGAGGCCTGCTGGGCAGGGTGGTTTGGGGTCCTACACACTCAGCCTGATTCCTACCACTCTGAGCCCAAGGACCCCCCTGTTCACCCTGTGCCAAGCTCCAGCCCAGACCCCACCCTCCCACTGATGCTCTGGATGTTACCAAAGAGACATCTTATTTGTAAGCCTCCAGCCCCCAAAGAGGTAAAATCATTTGTCTGAGCCACAAGGGAGCCTATAGAAAAAAAAAACCAAAACAAAACAGGGCGTGGGACTTGGGAGGTCCGCATTGTGACCCTGGAGAAGACACAGCCTGCTGTGAGCCAGTCACCCCCACGCCAAGTCTCCCGCGCCCAGGAGCCCCCTCGCCTGCTCCTCCCAGCCCCCTAGAGGGCCTCACCCCCCTTTCCCAGGTAAGGGGGAAGGAAGCCAAGCCGCTCGCCTAATTGCCCGCAGCCGACAAGGGGCAGAAGCAGGTGTTAAGTCAGAATCCTGCAGTGCCGGACAGGGAGAGTCTCTAGAAACCCAACCCAGGCTTCCCGAGGCAGGGCAGGCCCGTGGGACGCAGTGAAGAGCAGTAACCCCGACTCCCAGGAGCAGGGGAACTGGGTGCCAGCCTCCCCGTCCAGAACCAGCCCCCCAGCACCTTACCCACTGACATCCACGTAGATCTCCGAGCCCAGCACACACACGGCATGGGCAGGGTCATCCAGGGAGAGGCGGATGATGTTCTGGAAGGACATGGCACGGCCCCCGAGCTGGCCACCCTCAGACCTGCCTGCAACCCTCAGCACAGCGGCCTCCGCTGACCCAGGGCTCCCCACGCTCTCCTGTTATGCGGTCAGGGCCGCTCCAGCCCGCCCCCTTGTTAAGGCCGGCAGCTGCCCAGGTGTCACTGATTTTCTCCACGGGCACCTCCTGGTGGCTGAGGGCAGGGAGAGGCACCGGCAGCTCGTGGCCGCAGGCCTGCAGACCCAGGAGTCGGAGGCTGCTTGCTTAGGGGTCTCTGGCCTTCAGCTGGGAGGAAGAGTGGTTTGGGAAGCTGGTGCCTGGGAGAGGTCGACTTGGCTGAAGCCGTCACGGCTAATATCTGCAGAGGACAGTTGGGGGCAGTTGGGGCAATTGTGACGGGCAGCATCTCCAGGCTTTGGGACCTCCCTTCTAGCGTGTGTGTGTCCTGGAAATTGACGAGGGGAGCCCAGCAAAGTGCGGGACTCGTGATCCTCAACGCTCTGGTGGTTGCCAAACTTATCAAGGAAGCTTGTTAACATTGCAGCTCCTGGGCCCAGAAGGTCTGCGGTGTGGTCCAGGAACCTGCCTCCCATCCCCAGGTGGTCAAGGGGAGCTGGTTGCTCACAGCTGTGGCTCCACAGGGCAGAGCGAGTGCTGGTGGAATGAGCAAATCCAGGGCCCCTGCGGAGCCAGGTGCGCCCGCTGCTGTCCCTCTCGGCTGAACGCGCAGAGCACAGAAACAGGAACTTCTGCTCGGCACAAGGAACTTACCCAGCTGCCTTTGCAACAGTGTTCATCCTGAGTCTTAAGCTTGGGTTATGCTTATTTTTGGATGGTGCCAAGTTCAAAAATTCTCCCTTCTGCCTTGTCCCTTGCCCACCCACAGGTGGAAGGAGCCAGTGTCACCAGTTTCTTTTGTTTCTATCTCAATAAATGCTGTGCAAGACCAAGCAAGTATGTCTGTCTGTCCTCCCCTTGTTCTTTTCTTACATACATGGTGGTATAAGCTACACAGTATTTCATAGCCCTTTTCCTCTTCATAGTGCAACTCGGAGGGACATTCATTCTCCCTATGAATATGCAAAAAGCAGCCCTGTCCGTTTTTATGGCTGTGTACTTTGCGCGGGGCTGTACTGTATGCACGTGAGCATTTGTCGTCAGTGCATAACCAGCGCAGGGCACATAGGCCGGGCACTGAGTGAAGACCGGTCCGCTGAGCTCTCCCAGGAATTGAAGTTAAAACATCCCCTCCTTGGAGGCTTTAAGCACTCAGCGTACCTGTCACAGATGGCTCTGTTTTAGTTGCTCTTGGAGGCAGGTGGTTGGCCAGGAAGGCCCTAAAATCCCCTCTGATTGGATTGGAGGTGACAAAATTAAACAGGCAGGAGGCACTGGCCTGAGGACTTAGCCGTCCTCCCATGCAAGGAGCCAGAGGTGGGCTGGGGGGAGGGGACGGTCTGCCTGGGGAGGAATCGCTGAAGGCTGGGCTCTGGGTCCAGAGGGCAGCCTGCCTAGTGCCAGGGCCCCGTCTGAGCAGAGCATGGAAGGACCAAGCTCCCCACCCAGCCTGGTGGATGGAGACCTTAGAGCAGCCCTCTTCCTTCCAGGGGCTTCCTGTTCACCACTGAATCCCCAGCACCACAGAAGAGCCCTGGACACAGTAGGTGCTCAACAAGTTCTTGTGGAGCCAATGAATAAATGACCTGCCCTTGTCCTCCGCACAGAAGATAGCCCAGTGGGCTCCCACGGGGGTCCCCTCTGAGCTGAACGGTTTGCAGTCACAAAGCAGCTTTCTATTGACTCCCGCAGCCCCTCCCGTCCTTGGGCAGGGCAGGAAGTTCTCCTTGGCAACGAGGTGAAGTCTGCTCAGCACTCTTAGGTCGTCAAAAGGCCTATGGTCACTTCAGGTCATTGTGGTGGACGCTGTGATGCCACTGAGGCCCCGTTTTGAGGGAGCACTCGTTCCCCGAGCTGCCGGGAGTGCACGGCAGGCCTGCTTCTGGAATTGTCTTTGGAAAGGAGCTGCCTGGCCCCCGGCCGTGTCCCTGCTAGGGGCAGCTACAGCCCATGTCGGGGGACATAGGTCAGGTTGCCTCGTCTGAACTCAGGACAACTCTGATGCCTTCCCCAGCCCCCCACTGGATCGCCTGGGCATCAGGGGCAGCTGCATCCCAATCAGCAGCTCCCCGTGTGCCCCGCACGCCCCGCCCCTTGCGCGCACTTCCCCCAAAACACCCCAGCCCCACCCCCACCCCTGCCTCCCGAAAACCTCCTGCAGGCGGGTCTCTGCCTCGAGTCTGGTGCCAGGAACCAGACAGAAGACAGTCCCTAATGCTAATGCGCAAGTTTGCAAGTCCAGTCGGTTTTATAAAGTGAAACCTTCCCCCTTGCCCGTGAGGGCTTCATGCAGGAGCAAAGTGTAGAGCTGAGGAAAGGGGCTGCTCGGCCCCCTTCTTTCCCTGTCCTGCCTGCTGAAGCTGGCGCGTGATTTCCGACCCACAGTAGGCAGTAGAGTGGCCCTAATCCATGCAACCTGTGTTATCTCATCTGGGAAAAGAATCTTTGCAAAGGTGACTAAATTAAGCATCTTGAGAGGGGGATGTTGTCCTAGACCATCTGGATGGGTTCCAAATGTCATCACAAGCGTCCTGGTAAGGGAGAGGCGGAGAAGGAGGTGTCACCGGGACACAGAGGTTGGAGTGACATGGCCAGCCACAAGCAGAGGGGGTGCAGGCAGAAGCCGGAGCAGCAAGGAAGGACCTTCCCTGAGAGCCTTTGACGGAGCATAGGCCCGCAGATGCCTGGATTTCAGCTTCCAGAACTTTGAGGGAATCAGTTTGTATCGTTTTTATGCCACCTGGGTTGTGGCCATGTTTTACAGCAGCCTCAGGAGCTGCCGTGTGGTCGCTAGGGAAGGGGGAGGCAGGAGCCAGGCTGGGGGCGCAGGGAAGCTTTGCTTCATGGTGTTCCAGCAAGTGTTAACCGAGACTGACTGGGGAAAGAACCCAGCGGCACACAGAGGGTCGGAGAATCAGCCTTTATTCCGAGGGTGGGCTCAGAGAGGCGTGCCACCAAGTTCTCAGCACTGCTCCCTTGTTCTCCTCCAGTTTTATACACTTCTTGGGGTTACACACAACCAATCAACTGTGAGCATGAGGAGTTATCCAATCAGCGGTGGGATTTAAAAAGCATCCAATCAGCAACAAGCTTTACATATCCAATCAGCAACAAGCTTTACATCCAATCAGCAGTGAGTTCAGCCATGGGGCCCTGGGCTGAGTTTTTATTCCCTGTCAATGGTGCTCGGGCTGGCAGTGCTGTGTCTGCTGTGGGCTTCCCTGGCGCCCCCAGAGACACCCATGCACCCCTGAACAGCTGGGGGTGCTCCTGCTCACCACATTTCCTTTGGGGCACCAGCTCCTCTCTGAACCCCTCTGCAGCCCCGGGAATCCGGCACACCTGCAGTTGTGTCTGCTGACCCTGCTCTCCGCTCTGGCAGCCCTGTCAGTCAGGTCGGGCCACCTCACACCAGCTTTGGGAAGGACACTCACATCCTTCACCTGCAAGTGCAGGTGGGGGGGGGAGGGTGGCTGATGCTCTCCAGAGAAACGTGCTTTGACCCAAGTTTTATGAATCCCCTTCTCTTTAGTGGGCTTTTCAAAAACACAGGATTTATTTTTATTATTAAGATAAAAGCACATGACACAAAATGCACCAACTGAACCATTTTTAAGGGCACAGTTCAGTAGTGTTAAGTATATTCACATTGTCGTGAAACAGATCTCCAGAACTTTTTCATCTTGCAAATCTGAAATTCTGTACCCGTTCATCGACTCCCCTCCTCCCCCTGCCCAGCCCCGAGTAAGGGCCATTCTACTTTCTATTTTGCTAACCCATGTCATTGGAACCACACACTATTTGTCTTTTTGTGACTGGCTTACTTCACTTAGCGTAATGTGGACAAGGTTCACTGGTGTTGTGACAGGTATCAGGATTTCCTCCCTTTTGAAAGCCAAATAATATTCCACAGCAGGTATATGCCACATTTTGTTTATTCATCCGTTTATTTTTATTTTTATTTATTTATTTTTTTAGAGATAGTGTCTCTCCCTGTAACCCAGGCTGGAATGCAGTGGCATCCTCATAAGCTCATTATAACCTTGAACTCCTGGGCTCAAGCAATTCTCCTGCCTCAGTGTTCAGAGTAGCTGGGACTACAAGCATGTAGTACACCTAGCTAATTTTTCTATTTTTTGTAGAGACGGGGTCTCACTCTTTCTCAGGCTGATCTTGAGCTCTTGGCCTCAAGCCATCCTTCCACCTTGGCCTCCCAAAGTGCTAGGATTACTGGTGCAAGCCACCAAGCCTGGCCAACACTTCTGAATTTCAAAACGTATTACAAGATACAGTCATCAAAATGGTGTGGTATTGGCATAAAGACAGACTCATGGGATAGAATAGAGAACCCAGAAATAAAACCCTCAAGGATAATAGACATTTCTCCAAAGATGATATGCAAATAGCCAACAAGCACATGAAGAGATGCTCAACATCAGTAACCACCAAAGAAATGCAAATCATGGCCACAATGAGATATCACCTAACACCTGTCAGAGTGGCTACTATTAAAAAGGAAAAAGAACAAGGGTTGATGAGGATGTCATGGAATTGGAGCCCTTGTGACTTGTTGGTAGGATTGTAAAACGGTGCAACTGCTATGGAAAACAGCATGGAGGCTCCTGAAAAAAAATTAGAAATAGAACTACCTACCATAGGATCTAGCAATCCCCCTTCTACAAATATATCCAAAAGAATCAAAGCAAGGTCTCAAAGAGGGATTTGCATGCTCAAGTTCCTGGCAGCACTATTCTAATAGCCAAGGGATAGGAGCAACCTAAACGTTAATGAAAAGGTCAACGGCCAGCTCTGTGGCTCACTCTCATAAGCCAGACCATGTCTCAAAACAGAGCAAAACAAAACAAAACAAAATTAGGAGGTACAAGGGCAGAGGCTTTTGATGTTCATCTTTGCCACCATCACATGTTCTCCATGGCTGTGTTAAAACAAACAGGATCTCTAGCATCTCAGACTGTTTGGAGCCAAGATCTAGTCTTCATTTCACAGATCTCAAGCCACCAAGTTTTATTTTCTAGAGAGGAATCTAAGTCCCTATGTCACAATCATGAAAGACAATATACAAAAAGAACACCAAGGAGATGAAGTACTTCATTCCACAAAGATCCATCAGTCTTAGTATATGCCATGCTCAGTTGTGGGTGGTTTTGTAAAAAAAATTAAAATTTTTTGTAGAGATGGGGTCTCTTGTGTTGCCTAGGCTGGACTCAAACTCCTGGCCTCAAAATGAACCTCCCGCCTTGGCCTCCCAAAGTGCTGGGATTACAGATGTGAGCCACAGCCCAGGCTGTAGGTGGCCTTAATGAGGGATGTGCCCACATTCCCAGGGGAAGTCAGCCCTTCCCTCCCCCCTCCTTCTCCTCCTCTTCCTGGAAAGGTTCCATGGGAAGATCAGGACCAAGTAGGATCATGCAAGATTTTATAGACCAAATGCATGCCTGGGAGCAAAAGGCACACACAGTTAACACTGGCCTCCGACACAGCCTGGTAGCTCTTTTGAGTTTGTAACAGTCAATTAAGCCATGACAAACGAGTCAATGAATGAACGAATGCTAGCCACAATATCTGGACCTCATGTACAAAGTGGTTACAAAAACTTTATTGCAGCTTCTCAGAGCAGAACTGAGTTTACAATGCTAGGACCCTCTTGGGATCCTAAGAG